TCCCTCTTCGGGGACCCTTCTGACGAGAGCATGCTTCGTCAAGAAATAGACACACTCTTATGCATGGGAGCTATAGAACCAGTTCCTATATAGCACGGAGGGAAGAGATTTTATTCAGGTACTTCCTGGTACCAAAAAAGAGTGGAGGTTGGAGACCCATCCTAGACCTGAGACTACTCAACACCTATTTGAAGGCCCAGAAGTTCAAAATGGTGATGCTCACAGTGATAATTCCATTAGAGGAAGTGATTGGTTCTCAGCCCTCTACTTTCAAGATTCGTATTTTCACATCACTATCCACCCATCCCACAAATGATTTCTCCATTTTATTGTTGTCCAGGACTACTATCAATACTGATTACTCCCCTTTGGCCTATCATCCGCCTAAGGGTCTTTTCGAAGGTCATGTTGTTGGTAGCTATGCAGGAAAGTATTCCCTTACCAGGACAATTGGCTGCTGAAAGAAGGAGCAAGATCCTCTTCCTATTTCACCAAGACATCAGACTCTGGAACTGGTGCATATGAAACCAGATCACTATCACAGCAGCCTATCTCCTGGACATTCAGAATGTGACTCAGCAGACACTTCTTCCAAGACGACAAGTGGGAAATAAACCCCAACATATTACATCACAGATTCTGTCAGTGTGGTACCCCCCAGATAGACTTGTTTGCCACGTCTGCTCAAGGAGCAGATTGAGTCACCAATCCATAGGGAATGCTTTTCACCTTCAGTGGTGGTCAACCCAACAGCAGGCACTCCTGCCAACTCTCCTAATAGCCTCAGTTATGCTCAAAATAAAGAGTGCCGGAGCCAGAGTAATTCTAATAGTTCCGACTTGGCCCAGGCAAACATGGTTTTCTTACCTGATACAGCTATCTGTTTGCCCTCCGATCACTCTCCGCATCACTCCCCATCTCCTCTTCTAAGAGTGCAGGAAGATTTTTTTCATCCCACTCTCACGGTGCTTGGTCTCAAAGCATGGTTGTTGATGGCTCATGCGATTAGAGACAGCCTGCTCAGAGGACATAAAAAGAGTGATATTACACAGCGGGAAACAATCTACTCACTACATGTATTCTGAAAAATGGATGCGGTTTGCCAGTTGGTGTGACCGCAGGCAGCTTTCACCAATGACTACATCATTTCTGGATATACTACACCCTAGCTCTGAAAACCTTGATGAGCTCCATAAGAGTCTTCCTGGCAGCCATCTTGGCTTTTCACCCCCCAATATAGGGCTATTCCGTCTTTACCCACCTGACCACAGCAAGATTCCTTGGAGGGATGGGAAACCTTTTATCCACTGGTCCAACTCCCTACCCCAGTATGGGACCTCAATCTGGTCCTGAAATGCCTCACAAGACTGACCTTTAAACCTCTGGCTACCTTCTCACTGCTCCATTTGCAATGAAGATGGCATCCCTGATGGTGCAGTGGGTTGGAGAAATAGAGGCCCTAATGGCATATCCCCCCTTCACAGTGTTTTAAGGACAAGGTCACACTGCAGCTCCACTTCGCATTCTTACCTAAGATCTCTTTTGAGTTCCATCTCTATCAGCCCATTCGTTTTCCTGTCTTCTACCCCAAACCACATCTGAATTCCCAGGACACACTGCTGCATACCTTGGAGAGCTCTGGCCTTTTGTCTAGACAGAACAAAGCCCTTCAGAAAGATAGACAAGTTATTTGTCTCGATAGCAGACAGATCAAAAGGATCAGCAGTCTCTAACCCGAGACTTTCCAAGTGGATATCAGACTGCAGTAACTCGTTACCAGTCTTGTAACATTCAACCACCTTTGCTTATACACTCATTCTACAAGGTCCATTGCCACTTCCATGGCCTTCCTCAAAAACCTATCTGTCACCAACATCTGTAGAGCCACTATTAGGGCATCCATCCATACATTCGCCAAACACTATGCAATAACTCATGACTCCATCCCCGATACTGCGTTCAGCTCAACTGTACTTTCCACCGTACTGGACTCAACGCCGAAGCCCCTTCTGCCTTAGAGCGCACTGCTCCATAGTCACCTAGAGCACCCATGGGGACACTACTTGAAGAAGAAGAAGAAGAAATGGATACTCCCCCTGTGCAGTAATTGTGGTTCTTCAAGATGCGTTTCCCTGATGGGTGCTCCACTACCTGCCCTCCATCCCCTCTGCTTCAGAGTTCTTGGCCATGGGGCTCCGCAATATAGAAGGAACTGAGGGCAGTTTTCCCACGCAGTCCTATGTAACAACTGCACTGCGCACGAGACTGACTAACACAGATGTGCAGGCCAAATGGACACAGCTATGAGAAATCTCCAGTCCAAAGCGCAGGGGACACTAGCAAACTTGGAGTGGAGCACACATAAGTTCAAAGAACCAGAGTTACTGCACAGGGTGAGTAACCATTTCTTCTTGGCACAACTGTAGTTCAGTTTCAGAAATTACAAGCTCTTTTACCTAGAGACAAGGTAGCAGTATTAACTTTGGGTCCCAAGATGGATTTGGCAATAGATTTACACACACACACACACACACACCACCCTCAAAGAACAGCATTTCGTACTGAAAAGGTGTTAAATTCTAATGACCCACAGTATTTAAAAAAATAGGTTAAACCTTTTAAATGGTTTAGAAACGTGGGTGTTTTATTCCCCCCCATGAAGTTTTATGTTCATAATATTTAGACGTAATGAAATGGTGTAGAGTGTAGCTACCATAAGCAGATCAAAGATGGACAAGTACCGATGAGATGTCACTGACTCCTAAGAAAAATGTATATATTACAGTTATCTAAATAGAGATTAACCTTTTCACTCTCAGTTAAATCTTGAAGTCCCTACTCAAGCAAAATTCACTGACTACAAGGAGAGTTTTGCCTGAAGGAGAATTGAATAAGGATTTAAGGACTTCACATGGTTTACTTACCTTAGATGGGAAATACTTTGATTAACTTAAAGAACCAGATTTATAACTGGTGTCAACTTCTATAGACCTAGTTTTTCTTCATGGATAGCCCTTTTTTCTAATTCTTGCTCTTCAAAAATATTTTGAGGCTTTATAGTCTGATTATCGTTTTCCTGAGCTCTGATTACTCTGTTTAAGAAATTGTGGCTTTTAATTAATTTTTGAAGCAATCATCTCCTCAGTTTGCAGTACACAGATTTCTTTATTTAGAGCATCCTCATTCATGGAGAGGAGAAAGTTCTTGCTCAGTGCTGAATATTTTTATTAAGTTGTGAGACACTGTTCTAGTGTCCTGAAAATCATTATCTGTAATAACAATCGAGCAGTAACCTTAAATAGGAGTAATGGCTAGAGCTCCTGCAGAAGATCAGTTGCACAGATATAACTTAAAATAAATAATCCAGTAGTGAAGTACAAGAACAATACAAAAGTCCAATTCTACTGATAGTTGTAAGAGGACTGTGTAAATATGTAAAGTGCCAACCTATGTTTAAATGACTAAATTAGTTCCTCTTAGTCAAATCCCGCAGTCCTTAGCATTTACATAGCTAATATCCCACTGAGGTGAATGGGATGTGTCACAGATCTTGTCAAATGCCCCGTCTTGACTGCTCACCAGATTGCTGTGAGGGTTCCAGCAACTGGATTCCATGTGCTTTAAGCCATCAGAGCCTGAACAGAGACCATGTGCTGCCTCTAGCTGGGGGTCCCAGGCACACTCTTGCTGTACAGACCCTTTGTCTAGCACCTCCTCCTGAGAACAGACCTTGTAGTCCAACTGCCCAGCCCTTGGGGGACCACTGCTTACCCTTTAAACTTTGCATAACTTTAACACACCCTCTCCCAGAACTGTAGCCATGTGGGTGTTTTGGGTTCAGAAGCTAACTTTTTTTAACAGCGCATGAGAGGTGCAACACATAACAAACATGCGGACAGAATTCGTGAAGAATTCTAAACCACCCTGCTCTTTACTTAACCTCATAAGAAATACACAGAGCTATATTAAAATAATACATCCTCCACACATTTCCCTGCAACATGTTTTCTTGTCACTCCAGAGAATTCTTTGGACTGGGGTCTGGATACTCTAGGGATGTCAAAGATCCTCCTTCTGCAGCTCATGGCTTGATTTCTGATTTATAGAGCCTCTCCCTCCGTAGGTCAGCTTGGTTTCTCTATTCTTGGTTGGTCACATAGCTAAACCCCCTTGCTCCCACTATGAAAGCATGCCAGACTTTTCCCCTGTCTCCAGCCCAAAACTTCCTAGATGGCTCTGTAAGTCCCTCAAGTTCATATGTCCCACCACCAGTCGCTGGTTCTTGTGTCCTGCTTCTGGTAATTTTACATTCTCCAAGCCCTTTACTCCTTACAGATGAGCTGGAGGAAGTAACTTGTCCCCACTCCAGCCAACCTCCTTAGTATACCTATTGACCAGTCAGAGCACAGTCATTAATGTTAACTACTCTACTCTCCACTATTTCTAGCCTGGGGCCATGGCTGTGCTATAGTGGCATAGCTATGGTTTGGTAGGCTACAGTGACAGAAGGTGTTCTTCCATCACTGTAGGAATTCCATTCCCAGAGAATGGTAGCTAGAGCAACAGAGGCATTCCTTCAACCTAGCTGCATCTACACCAAAGGTTAGGTTGGTATAACTATGGCGCTCAACAGTGTGGAGTTTTCACACCCCTGCATGCCATAGCTATGTTAACCTACGTTTTAAATTTAGACCAGGCCTGGGAGAGTTGTGATAGGTTCATCAGCAATGGCAGTTACACATTGACATAGAGACATTCTATGGTAGTGTTTTTCATAAGAACAACTTGACCATTGCAACCAGAATTCATAAGCTGTATAGACAGATTTCTCAAATCATCACAGGATGTCATCTGCATAAATGCCAAATTAGTACTACTAATCTGGTCCTTATCCTTTTAATTCAGGGTTTATTAATGGCTAAAGACTGATCAGTGTGGGGAATGAAATAGTCCTCAAATATTTATTTTGTAAATGGATTAATTGGTACCTTTCTCTGTAGCCATTTGTTATACATGACATGGAAACACTGTGTATGGCAGAGAAGACTCTGGTGGCAAAACTGGTAGCCAATGGAATCCAGAACAAGGAAGCAGAAGTTCGAATCTTCCATTGTTGCCAGTGTACATCTGTAGAGACTGTAACAGAACTTACTGAATTTGCCAAATCTATCCCTGGCTTCTCAAATCTTGATTTGAATGATCAGGTGACTCTGTTAAAATATGGAGTTTATGAAGCCATTTTTGCCATGCTAGCTTCTGTAATGAACAAAGATGGGATGCTGGTAGCCTATGGAAACGGCTTTATAACTCGAGAGTTCCTGAAAAGCCTAAGAAAGCCATTTTGTGATATTATGGAGCCGAAGTTTGATTTTGCAATGAAATTCAATGCACTGGAGCTGGATGATAGTGACATATCGCTTTTTGTAGCTGCTATCATTTGCTGTGGAGGTAAGAGATAAATATCTGTTCTTTGAAGTAATATTTATGATTTCACTCCCATCATTTAGTAATTTAAAAATGGAAAAGTATATTTTGTTGCAGTTTATGGAATTATGACAATTCAGTTCTTCCACTAAATGTTTGTCTCATGTTAAATTATGTTTGGTACAAGACACATACTCATTAAGGCCTTAATCCTGCAATGTATTGCACAGGAGTCTGCCCATTTACAACACGTCGTTGGATTAGTGCCTTGGAGCTTTCTAGTTTTAAAAGTGGGATGTGAAGAGTATCCATTCCTTGAGGAATAGGGTTGGGCATGAAGAAATATTTCTAAACTCTGAAACAGGCAGAGAAATACAACAATATGGGACTGATAGTGGAGTTAGATATTCCTGTTTCTTCTAATCTCATCCTTAGAGGCCAATAAAATTATGGCTTTGATGTTGCTGTCTAGTACATGTGAGTGGACTCCCCATTGAAATCAAAGGGTTCTGCGCAGCCATAGCATTCTGCCCAGGCATTTCATATTGCAGGATTGTGACCTTAATTTTAATGTTTTATTTCCAGAAAATAGCGTTCTTAAATTTGAGTTAAGATTATAAATACTTTCTATTAAAGTTGTGCTAGATCAGTGGTTCTCAACCAGGGGTACGCAGAGGTCTTCCAGGGGGTACATCAACTCATCTAGATATTTGCTTAGTTTTACAACAGGCTACATAAAAAGCACTAGTGAAGTCAATACAAACTAAAATTTTGTGCAGACAATTACTTGTTGATGCTGCTCTACATACAGTACACTGAAATGTAAGAACAATATTTAAAGTAATAGTGTGCTGTGACACTTTTTTGTATTTTTATGACTGATTTTGTAAGTAGTTTTTAAGTGAGGTGAAACTTGGGGTATGCAAGACACATCAGACTCCTGAAAGGGGTACAGTAGTCTAGAAAGGTTGAGAACCACTGTTCTAGATGATTCACAGACGACCTCAAACAAACCACTGCCCAACATTGTTTACACTCTAAATTTAATAACCTGGGGGGCATAAAAGAATGTAATTTAAAATAAACAGAATGGAAAAAATCAGAGTTAAGGTTTCACTTTAAAACTCTTCACAAACATTTGAAAATGCACAGTCAAGGTGCTCCAAACAATGAACTCTACCCTCCCATCTCTGGATCCTCATCCACCCATATTAACAGGACAGCCTTTCACCTGTTCTCCCAATATTCACAAAATGAGCCATAAATCGCACTGTACTGTCCCATACTTAACATACTGCACCAATTCCTTTACTACATATTAGCCACCTGCCCAACCTGCATCTTCCATCTTTTATTTAATGTGCAGACCAAAAACCTCTGCCCCAACATTTCAACTTCTTACTGTCATCAATGTACCACAGCTTATGACCTGATACCCTCTAAGTACAATCCACAAACATCCCCGCATCATTATTTACTATAAGACAAAAGGCCCAATATACCCTGTGAATATTATTTTTTACTGCACGCAAACTGTTAAAAAACATTAAGGTTGTAAACTCAAGTACTCAAAAGTTAGAAAATGCTGGAATTGTCCATGCCTGTGCAACTCTAATTCAACCCTCTTGTGCATATTAATATGATCCAGTTTTTAATACATGATCACATGGGCATTTTTTTTTCCACAGGACCCCTGCCTCATTCAGTGCACAAGATAGTGCTTTGGAGATGCAGCAGGGCTGTGTAGTGAAGGAGAACAGGAGCCTTGCTTTATTTGTTACAGAAGTTTGAAGGTGTGTAGTGAATGAGACAGAAGGTCAAGGAAGAGAGAGGATGGTATCATGGTTAGGGCAGTTGATTGTTAACCTGAAGAACTGGATTCTATTCCTGCCTTTGCCAAAGAGTTCTGATGTGATGCTTGGCAAGTCACTCAAACCAGTCTTTTCCCAGGTAGTCACTAATTGTGTGTGCGCCTCATGTTCTGGGTGCCTGACTTGAGACCTGGGGGTCTGATCTGCAGAAGAACTGAGCACTTACAGCTACAATTGAAGTAAAAGGAAGCTATGCTTTGAACATAATAAACACTCTATAATTCTAGCTACACTGAACAATCAGGCCCTAGGGGTCTTAAATTTGGGCACCCAAAATTAGTGGATACTTTTGACTGTAATCTCTGTGTGCCTCAGTCCTCAGCTGTAAAATGTGGATAATATCCCCATATCTCACAGGGGTGTTGCGAAAATAAATTCACTAATAATTGTGAGATACTCAGATACTATGGTGATGAGTGCTACAGAAAAGTTAATGAAGAAATTTAATAATTCTGTCTTCAGGGCAGGGTATGCATAGTAGGCAGCAAATAAGGCCTGGGGCCACACACCCAACAACAAGGAGAAAACAAAATATTAAATAGCTGTTCATTAAGTGAGCACCAGCCACCCAATGCACTGAATGAGGGAGTCCTGGGGGGAGGAGAGTGAGGGGAGGGAGATGTGATCATGTAAGTAAAGACGGTATCGTAATTAGGCTTGACAGATGCCTATTTTTATATATAATTTCAATGGATAATATTGATGTGTATTTTTATTTTATCACTTTCAATTTTCATAGTTGTGGGAGACTGCAGAGTCAGGCAATAATTATTTAATGACAGTAGACTTAGAGTCAAAGTTAAAGCTTTATAACAGTTACAACTAGGGCTGTCAAGCGATTAAAAATATTATTTGCGATTAATCATGCGATTAAACAATTTAATCACAATTAATCGCACTGTTAAACAATAATAAATAGCATTTAAATATTTTGGATGTTTTCTACATTTTCGAATATATTAATTTCAATTACAACACAGAATACAAAGTGTACAGTGCTCACTTTATATTTATTTTTTATTACAAATATTTGCATTCTAAAAAACAAAAGGAATAGTATATTTCAATTCACCTAATACAAGTACTGTAGTGCAATCTCTTTATAATGAAAGTTGAACTTACAAATGTAGAATTATGTACAAAAAATAACTGCATTCAAAAAATAAAACAATGTAAAACTTTAGAACCTACAAATCTATTCAGTCCTACTTCAGCCAATCGCTCAGACAAACAAGTTTGGTTACAATTTGCAGGAGATAATGCTGCCCGCATCTCGTTTACAATGTCACTTGAAAGTGAGAACAGGCGTTTGCATGGCACTATTGTAGCCGGCATTGCAAGATATTTACGTGCCAGATGCGTTAAAGATTCATATGTCCCTTCATGCTTCAACCAGCATTCCAGGGGACATGCGTCCATGCTGATGACCGGTTCTGCCCGACAACAATCCAAAGCAGAGCGGACCGACACGTGTTCATTTTTATCATCTGAGTCGGATTCCACCAGCAGAAGATTGATTTTCTTTTTTGGTGGTTTTGGGTTCTGTAGTTTCCACATCAGTGTTGCTCTTTTAAGACATCTGAAAGCATTCTCTACACCTCATCCCTCTCAGATTTTTAGGAGGCACTTCAGATTCTTAAACTTTGGGTCGAGTGCTCTATCTATCCTTAGAAATTTCACATTGGTACCTTCTTTGCGTTTGTCAAATCTGCTGTGAAAGTGTTCTTAAAACGAACATGTGCTGGGTCATCATCCGAGACTTCTATAACATGAAATATATGGCAGAATGAGGGTAAAACAGAACAGGAGACATACAATTCTCCCCCAAGGAGTTCAGTCTCAAATTTAATTAACGCATTATTTTTTAACGAGCATCATCAGCATGGAAACGTGTCCTCTGGAATGGTGGCCTAAGCATGAAGGGACATATGAATGTTTAGCATATCCGGCATGTAAATATCTTGCAACGCCGGCTACAAAAGTGCCATGCGAACGTCTATTCTCACTTTCTGGTGACATTGTAAATAAGAAGCAGTCAGCAGTATCTCCCGTGAATGTAAACAAACTTGTTTGTCTTAGTAATTGACTGAACAAGAAGTAGAACTGAGTGGCCTTGTAGGCTCTAAAATTTTACATTGTTTTATTTTTGAGTGCAGTTTTGTAACAAAAAAAAAATCTACATTTGTAAGTTACACTTTCACAATGAAGAGATTGCACTACAGTATTTGTATGAAGTGAATTGAAAAATACTATTTATTTTGTTTACAAATATTTGCACTGTAAAAATGATCAAAAATAATATAAAGTGAGCACTGTACACTTTGTATTCTGTGTTGTAATAGAAATCAATATATTTGAAAATGTAGAAAATCATCCAAAAATATGTAATAAATTTCAATTGGTATTCTATTGTTTAACAGTGCGATTAATTGCGATTAATTTTTTAAATCGCAGTTAATTTTTTGAGTTAATTGCGTGAGTTAACTGCTATTAATCGACAGCCCTAGTTAAAACACAAATTGTCAACATCTCATGTCAAAATATACAAAATAAATATCCTTAAATCAAACTCTTAAGCTCTTGGGCAGCATTTTTCTTGCTCTGCCTGCCTGAAAATTTGGATTATTATCAATGGAAACATTTTTTGTTTCGTGTGTGTATGGTGAAATCCAAATTTCCTGATAAAAGTCTGATCTTTCCAAGACTAATCATAATGCTTACGCCCATCCCTGACTCCTTGTCCCATTCCTGTCCTCTCCTAGCCAGTCTATCTTCACTCCTGAGGCGTATCCTTGCCCAGCAAATGATAGTCTTGCCCTTCTGGACTCACTGTCCCAGTCACCTTCAGCATCCATACTCAGTCCCCGTTCCTCCCCCTCCCCCCCCGCCCCACTTCTACCAGCTCTTCATCTAATCAGTCTCTTTCCCCCACCACAGCCTCCAGCTGATGCTCCTAGTTCAAATTTCCCCACCCAGGCTCCGTGTCCAATTTCATTGTCACCTTCCCTCTCCGAGGCGCCTTGTCCAAGTCTGTTTGCCCAGACAGTCCCAGTTGTCCCTATGTACCAAGGCTCCTCATCAGATCCATCTCCCCTTCTCCAACATCCTAACACAAAGGCCTCCCTTTCATTTGCCAAATTTGAAATCCCTGTTCCAAAGAACAGGTGTGCTATATCTTTCCAAAGAAAAGATTTTTTTTTTTAAACATGGACAACATATGTTTTTCCCAGCCTCATACTTGGAAACAGCTGAAGTTCCAGCCTGAGGCACACACCTGGCATGGAAAATTTCAGCCCACATATTTGTCAAAGTTATGAGCAACTGAAAACATGTTCTGATAATGGGAAGTCTCTCAATCTTAATAATAAGTGGTGTTGCCAGCCTCCTCTATGACTGATTGCACTATGGTAATACCTATCAAGTACCAATCCAGATTGGTGACTCAATGTGTTTGGCACTGTAGTAACACAGTAAAATATCTTTCCTGTTCCAAAGAGCTTATTAAAAACACACAAATGCTTAATCTTATTCATCCTTCTGATTTGGGTGGGAGACGCCACAACCTTCATATAGAGAACATAAAATCAGATATCCAGGCTAGACATGTCCACTGTACTACAGCAGAAGGTTTTTGAGTCGCATGGAGAATTCTCTCTTCAGCCCATCTTGAAATAACATTGGCAAAAGTCATGAGGATCTATTTATTTATTTAATAAAGTTAGTCTATACCAGTACTCCTGAGAGAGTATTCCATAGCTATTCAGTTGTTTCAAAAGTTCACTAATGACAAGATTTTACTTTGTCCCTGATCCAAAATCATTGGTGTTGATTGAAATAATCTCATTGTCTTCAGTGGACGTCTGGAGCAGGCCTTACGTGCAGATAAAATGTGAAGAATGGTAAAATTATATGACGTGTATTCTTTTGTTTGTTTTGAGAACAGATCGTCCTGGTCTTGTAAATGTAGAATACATTGAAAAGATGCAGGAGGGCATTGTGCATGTACTAAAACTTCACTTGCAAAACAACCATCCTGATGACATCTTCCTCTTCCCAAAACTCCTCCAGAAAATGGCTGACCTCCGACAGCTTGTCACAGAGCATGCTCAACTTGTTCAGATAATCAAAAAGACTGAATCTGATGCACTCTTGCATCCTTTATTACAAGAAATCTACAGCGATATGTATTAAGGGTTTTTTGTAATTTTTTCCACAGTATTTAAAGCCAAGAGCAATATTAATAATAGATGGGAGAAAAATTACTTTGTGCAGTTATCTGCTGTGCTGAATTCCAGAACATGAAAAATCTAAATTGTAGATAACTGGAATGTCACACTTCTTTTGTCGTGGGTTCTTTAAGTACTTTAGAGAAATTACGTAGTGCTCATGAGAAGCTTTGGTTAATCTGAAATTTGAGGGTTAGCGAGAATGTATATGTACTGAACAAGTAGATGTTTAACAAATCTGAATCTGTTGACTAACAAATAGACCTTGATCGATCAAAATTATATTCTGTATTGGGCTAGTCATTGAGCATTAATTTACCAAATAGTGCATGTATCTCGAACAAATTTTGCACTATCTTCTATAAATTATGTACTCTTGGTTTAAATACTCTCATGTTCATTATTGAGAACCAACTAGCACTTTCAATTTTTTCTCAAACAAGAGTCAGGCTAGATGTATCAAGTGGCTGGGTATAACTATACGTGCACAGGTATATTTATTTGAAAGATATTTACTTTGTTGCTGTCTGAATTATGAGAGGAATAGTACTACTTAAGTAACTTTAGGATTAGCCTTTTAAAAAGAGTCTTTAAAAAAAAGTTAATTAAAGGATTACCATGGTGTAACTCACATAATCACTTCCTTGCCACTGCAGGAGCCTTGGGCACTGGTGCACCTTGGTCCCTTCTGTTCTCTGCCTATGGCACATAATAGTGTAGTCTCCCATGGGATGTAATACCCAATGACCAAAATTAGACCAACCAAAGTATCAGTGTGTGGGTCCTGGGTGGTGCTGGTGTTCTGATATACAGGAGGTCAGACTAGTTGATCTAGTGGTCCTTTCTGGCCGTAAACTGTAAGACTCTATAAAATATGTCAAAGATATTTTAGCAAGATGCTTGTTAGTGAATTGTACTTTACGATGGGGGAATACTTTTTCAAAAGTGTTCTAATGAAACTAGGCAAAAGTCCCTTTTGGGTGGAGATGTAGTATATTGTGTGCATCTTGGAGAAGTCTTAATTGCTGAAGATGAAATTTTTATTTTAAAATGCCATTTTGAATTAGCAGGACTTGGGGAGTCACCCAGAAGTCTGATTCTTGCCCCAAGGAAGCTGAATGCCAGATTGTCAGAATACAATAGCTTCAGGTGGTGGTCTACTCTGAAAAGTGATTGTATAAACATGGCACCTTTATTCTTAACAGATCTGCACCCAATATGTATTCAAAGTCATACATACTGTATTTACTGTTCTGATAAAAATATTATTTTACATTCTCTGCTTATATTACCCCCTCAGAGCCAATCCAGCTGCGTGAACTGCCTTCTGTTCCTCCTCATACATTGTCAATAGAACTATTAACTAAATTCCAAACGCACTATATTCTGCCCTCCTTTTATTCTACCACACTGGAGGCACAGGTACAGAAAGCAGAATTTGTAGACACTGATTGCACAGTTGTAAAGGAAGAGTGCACAGATTGGAGAAAATCGTTTCATGTAATTGAGGGCAGAATCTGAGCCACCGTGTACTTCTTACTGGTGAAATAAAGCCAAAATAACACAGCTTGACTGGCAGTTAGAACAATCATGTTACAGTAAACTGAGCACATTTAATCTGAAAATCATTGAAACATAATAGACATGGAACTCCATCATGCCACTTTTCAGAGACTACTGTATAAAGAATGAAAACAACTGCTAGCTGTGAGTTTCTTTGGGAGTAACATTTAATATATTAAAGACAGTCTCCTTCTGCTCTCTTATCTTTCTTTTCCTTTTTACCCTGAGAGTTTATTGATCTTTTTTATGGGGTGTTAAAACAATGATCTTGACAGCCAATTTTGACAATACTTTCATAGTAATACTTTCTGTGGCTGAAAAAGGGTCAGTTTTCATGCCTGCTTTATTGCAGCATGGTTTCAAGGCCTCAGAATCATAAACCTTCACTAACAGAATCAACTTGGGAGTAAGGCTTGATAAATCCCAGAACACAGAAGAGTGATCTCTGTTTTCATCATAGAACTTTTCTGCTAGAGACTTGTTGGTACAGTTAGGCTTTTGGTCATTTGAGCCTTACATATTGTAAGATGATTAGAGTGATTTTTTTCAGCTTACACATTGCAAGTGTTAAAATCAAAGTATCTATACTTCCATCAGTGTGTTTAGAATCTATTCCAGTTATGTAACTTCTCAGGCACACACAGCTCAAACTGGTGCATGTGTCTGGGGGAGGGAAAAAGTAAAGAATGCATATATGCAAAATGATGACATACATGCTACCTGTCCCATCCACCATTTTTTCTTTTTTTTCACAACCAGCGGCAGTGAAAAGTATGGATATAGGACACCTACCTTATCTATTGAATTAGAGAATAGATTTTCAAGTTTTATCAGAAAATAGTGGATTGAGAAATTATCTGCTTTTTGTATTATTGTAGTACGCTGTGACTTCAGAAAAATGAGAGGATTTCAGCAATGGTACTTTCTGCTACTAAAAATGTTTCCTATTGCCAACTGCAAACATTTAAAAATCATGAATCAGATGCCAAAAAATGATGAGGTTGGCTTAAAAACTATAAGATATATCACTAATATCTTGGATTTGGGGGGGGGAGTGTTTTAGGGGCTTTTAGGTCACATTTTCAAACTTTACTCCCAAGATTGAGGGCTAGAAACTTAAATGAAGGCAGAGATTCTCACATAAACACTGTTTTTCAGAAGATGGGGCTTTAAATAAAATATCAAATATTGCAAGACTCGTAATGAAATCATAAGAGTTGCCAACATTTGACTTCTCAAGTTAAATATGGACCTAAATGCTCTGGATCTTTTAAAATCCTTCAACTTCCTATTGTTATCTGTCCTTCTGGAAATTTATTTCAGACTTGTTCGGGGTTCATTGCATTTCCAGTACACTGTCCCTGTTTGTTTCCAACTTTCATATAAGTCCAAATTCTGGACCTTCGCACAGGCCTAAAATAAACAAACCTTGCTCAGGTAAATGTCCATGGGAGTCAGGAAGGGCAGCATTCTTACCCTATTGAGCAGCACCCATTACACCCACTTTTCTCCATGCAGGTGATTAGACTGGTGGAGCCACATAACCATTGTCACACTGGCTATACCCTTGCCCATCCCCCACCATTCCTACCACCAGCCACTATTCTGCACTGCTTTGGAGGAAGCCAGTGTGGAGTGTATTACAGTGAATGATGAATTTTTGGTTTTGCCATTTGGGATAAAATGTGATGTTTTGTTGCCTGGATGGTTGAGCAAGGACAGCACTTTCTAGAGAGAGAGACTTCAATGCAATGCTAGAATTGCCTCAGCAGGTAGATGATATGCATATGGAGTTACTACTGTTTATAAAGCTTAGATGAAAGTATTTGTTCCTCATAACTCAAACCCTCAGAATGCTTATCCTGTAAGGGGGTGTGATGCAGGCAGCTGACTCAGTTTTAGGTGTATGCCTTGTGTTTGACTAATAGTAGTCCCCATAATTAAGTCTTTGACCATCAGCCAATCCCTGCTCTGTTGGGAGCCCTAACAGTTAATTCCTTGCTGCCTGATAGTTAAGGAGACTTTTTTGTTTTGTCCACTCTCACCTCATCTGCTGAATGAAACCATCTCATTTTCCTTCAGTCTTTCATAAACCCTGGTCTTCCTGGTGCCTCTTTGTCTGATACTAAATACAAAGGTGGAGCAAAACCTATTAACTCCCTAATGCTCTTGTTTAGTTAAATAGCAGCTGTACACACCACATCTCCCCAGGTGAGGCAGTACGCTGTCCCACCTCCACTTGTATATGCTATGACTACGAGCATCTGAGTAAGTCAGCACCCATGCCTATGAACTTTCACACTTAACACCAATAGTGCTACCCCTACTGGTGGTCTCTACAGCTGTGGTAAGCATCTCTTTCAGTATTCTTGATGTATGCAGCACCCACATGTCTGTAACAGTGAACAGCACACTTGGTGTGAACCTGATGACAACGATAGCAATGGCACACATCCAGAGCCTCTTTGCATTTCAGCTAGGATCTTTGTTTGTCAGCAAAGTTCCTGATCTAGAAATTCATTCATCAAACATCTAAAAGTTTTTAAGTAGGAAAAGACAGCAGTCGCATTTCAAGACCGGCTAATGTTTTGGATAGTTTCCATAACCATTTGAATTTTGATGAGTGTTTTAAAGAGCTACAATTAAAATTAACATTTAAAATATATGTACAAAAAGTATTTGTCTAGGGGTTACAGAAACTTGAACAAGATGTTAACAAATCCTAAAATTCTGAGAGATTCCACTAAGTGCACTACAGAGATACCTATACTGCCTTCAAAGAATACAAGGCACAGAACAATAATCTCAACTGTAAATTTAGTATTGATATACAGAACTTTATTTTAGCATTACATTTTTCACAGATTTAGCTCAGCTACCTCAACAGATTATCACAGTAGACACTAACAAATTAGATTTTCAAGATGGCTGCTTTTGTGAAAGTTTACAGTTTGGACTAAGTGCTAACAGATTCCTGAGCAACTTTCATCATGCACAAAGGAGTCAAAACATCCAAGCTTTAGGGTTTTTTTTTTTAAATCAATTCTATACAAGAAAGAGTGGTCTTATTTAAAGGAGAACACTATTACAGACTTGCTGGCCTGTTTGGTACATCATTACTCTGACTAGCAGCAGGTTCTAGGGGAAATTGTATAACCTTAATTTTAATTCATTTGGTTATTCTGTTTAAAGCTTTATTCTAATTTCAAAGTGAGTGCATGCAACCCTCATTAATACAAATGAAGTTACTTGTGGATATCAACATATCCCTTAATTTCAGGAGCCCATCTCTATTTTAAATGCACTAAAATTAAAATGACGACCAATCAGAATGTTTTCCATTTACTCAAACTGAACTTTTTTGGCATTTAAAAATGCCTTAATTTTCATTTTCCTGTGCCTTTGGGTTTCTGGTGCCAACCAGCTGCTAAAATGTTGAAATGCTGCCAAAGAGCTTATGTTTGCACTATTTCTGGCCCAAACAGATTTAGGAAATACCAGCAATTGTACCAGAGTCCATTCTCATGAGATTTCTAACACAAGTTTGTAAACTCAAGGGGTTAAGATAAGCATCTAAATGTGTGTTTATCTTAAATACTAAATCTGTGAAGGTTTACTCATTGCTAGAATTAGGTCGCACACTGAACTAGCATTTCTGTGTTGTCTTTCATTTCTAGTGGACAGCTTTACGGTAAGAAGTCTTAGACAAAGCAGTTGGAGAAGATTGCATTGTAGCTACCTAAATTATTTCTGGTCCTCTTCCGTTTCAGCTCAGTTTGTCCCTTAATTTTCAGTCACAAAGCTTCTATCTCAAAGTTTTTAAAAAAGAAAAAAATCAGCAGTTATTTAAATGCACTTATAGCCATTGTACTATTTTATAATAAAATTAATGAATTGTTGAATATGTCATAAAATTGGTACTTCATTCAAAGCCATAATCCTTTATTAAGGCTTGTTGAATTGAAAGGCACAGTCTGAGGCTTGCCTGTAACTTACCTCAGTGCTATTTTAATAACCACATTCAAATTTGAATATCTGTGCTTAATCAAGTTTGTTAACCCTCAGGTACTGAATGGTTAAATTTACAATATGGAGGTTTGAACTAAGATTACTGGAATTGTTCAGTTTTGTCTTTTGTTTTTAAACTGAATGTGATAATGTTTCTTTAAACTTCCATATGTAAAATATACAAATATAATTGCAAGACAAACTTTTAGTAAATTATACCACAAAAGCTTTAAAGAAAATATGTCAATTATTTAAGTGAAACACTATGGACCTGATTTGCAAACCCTTAGTCACAAAGTGAAAACTTGTATGAGTAAAGGCCGCAAGGTCTCAAGTTAAAGATGCTATTAATTTGTTTGTGGACTTAATTGCCACAAACTATATAAAGGACTGTGTCATGCTCCCTTGCCCTGGACTCTGCCACTCCATCTGTATAAATCCGTCCTGAGCCAGACTTTTACCATTTTAGAGCCCTCATCCAGAGGGTTCCAATAATTAAACAGAACCTAACACAGTCTCAGCCAATAGTTTGTCTCTCTGGACTCTTGTTCTTCTCTCACCGAGAAACAGTCATGAGCCACCCTGCCACCTCAGAATTGCCTGCTGTTCCCCATCCACACTGGGGTTATCGGTCTCTTGTTCCAAATTGCCTGCGTCAGCTATTCCCTCCCCACAAACTTACTCCTTTCCAAAGGACTTTCCGCCTTCCTACTCCCTCCCCAGAAGCTGCAGCCCTTTCCTGTCCAGAGGCACCCACCAGCTCTTTTTGCAGAGCTAATAGGATTTCTCCTATGGTCCCTCTTCCCTGATAGTTTCCCTCAGACTTCTCCCTACTACTTCCAAGCCCCAGCTCAGTGTTCCCCCCTGCTCTTCCTCATGTAGGATCTTTTCTAATCTGTGGAGATCTCAAGCCTTCCCCAAAGAGAGAACACTCGTGGGTAGCTTCCTTCTTATACTACTCAGACAGTCTCCTTATAGAGTTCAGCTGCTCTGTTACTAATTTGGCTGATGAGGCATCACTTGGGGCACCTCATTGCTCCAAAGTGTAGTTCACAGGGCGGTGGAGGGCAAGTGTTGTGCAAAACTTTGGGATACATCAGTGCATGAGCATTTGCAGTTGTAAACAAGGTTTGAAAATATTTGTATGTAGAATGTAGACTTCCTTTTATTTCTCTTTTGATACAAGTAAGTCTGGCACAGGATAAACTGTAGCTGTAAAATATTTAGTTAACATAATTAAGGTTTGGGGCTCAAACTCGCCAAGGTGTAGGGTGGACTTCAGAACCACTTTCATCTTTCCATTGCCTGCAGTACTTTGTTTAATTACAAGCCTAGTAGGAAAACTAAAGAGAGGTCGTTTCTATACAATTCCTGTAGACCTACGTTTCTCTCATAATTTATGCTTAAATTTTGTGAGAAGTTGATTTTTGGCTTTACAGGAATAAAGCTGTCCTATTGTTTGTTTATATAAAAAATAATTTTGGTGCCACCCACACTGAGGTTGAACTATGATTTCTTAGACATTTCAAAATATGTAACTGTTTGACTATACAATGAAAACTAAGTAATTAAAATATGCAATAACTTGGAAGTTGTTTGTTAATTTTTCTGTAGGAACATTCCTTTTTTCCTATGACTTTAGATCAGTGGTTTTCAACCGTTTTTAAATTTGTGGACCCCTAAAAAATTTCAAATGGAGGTATGGACCTCTTTGGAAATCTTAGCCATAGTCTGTGGACCCCCCAGTGATCCACTGACCACAGGTTGAAAACCATGTTCTATGGTAAAGACAACCTTTCACAGACCCCTTAGACATAGTCTGCAGACCCCAGGGAGGCTGAAAACCACTGCTTTTGATATAGACTAAGACAATCTATATATAGGCCCTGATTCTGCATCCTGTGACTAAGGTACAATTCCATGTTTGCATGGATCTCTTCTAGCAAATCCTGATGCAGGATCAGGCCATAGACACTAAGTTAATTATTTGTAATGGTTAAATTTTATTCTGAAGAATTCAAAAATGACACCCAGGACAAGCACAGTATGTTCTAATTGTTCTAGCCATGATTTATATTTGTTGCTGTTTTGTTTGCAGTACATAATATCACATCTTATAATGTTGGTGCAACTTTAAAATTGTAGATGATATATTATCATCCAAGTTCTCTGTGTTCATCGATGTGTCAAATTTCTATTAAGAACTTATTTGTAAAAGATATACTATGTTTTCTTTTGGTAATCTATTTTTTCTGCACTGGATTAATGGTCTGTGGCAGCAGTAAAGTAAAACCTGCAAAGAGCTACATCAGCTATGTCATGTTATACTGCAACTGTATAATAGATGTGTTTCCTGTTAACTAAAACCATCCCAGGGGCAAGGTGCTTTTCTAAGCAATATCAATGTGTTTAATAGTTTTATTAAGGCTTCTTTCAGTTTCTTAATCTATTTCAATCCTGGCCTCTTTTACCTTTCTTAAGTTTGTCTGCCTGTGAGATCACAATTGCAGGGAAAGATGTAATGGAGCAACAGAATAGCTAATGCTGAAGACACAGGGCCAGATCCTTCAGTCTTGCTGATTTGCCAAGGTAAACACCAAGGTCCCAATCCTCAACAATGTGAGAAGCTTGT